AAACCCGAGCCCTTTGACTAAACCCTGAAACTTTTCTGGGGGTTTCCGAAAATAGGGGACCCTAATATAGTACTGTAAATAGTAGGATCCCTATTATAAGGACCCCAAAACAAGGTACCCCTTATTTTCGGAAAGTCCCAAATCACAGGAAAACATTGCAGATTCAGGGTTCATATAGAGGCCTTAAGAATCAGAAAAGGGTTTTGGGGCCCATGATACTATAATTAGAGTAAGGACCCCCCAAAAAATAGTCCCTACAGTAAGGACTTTCAGGTTTTGGGGTTCTTTGGAAGCCACAAAGAGCACTTTCTCCGCCAAGGATGCAGATCAGTAGTTCTCTAAAAAGTCCCTCTTTCGGTCCCAAGTATAATAATACGGCACCCTTGCAACAGGGACCCTAAAAGGGACCCTAGTCTAGAGAAGTACCCAGATAGTTGAGCAGTGCAGAGTCGCGCTGCTTGACGTGAAGTATCCCGTTCGACTCCCAAGCTCTAACACGCTTAGCCTCCATGGACATCCCTGCTATTCCCAAAGGATTCTAAGTACTTATATGATGTACGGGGGATACTTTCCAAAGTTATAGTAGTGTTTGAATTAAAGAATCGAAACCCTACACTGACGGAGCCGCTTTGGGTTCAACCACTAGGGGTTATCCGGAACCCTCACAGCGGTCCACCGAAATTGTATACCAAAGTGCGCAAGATATCCGACGTGGATGGATGTCTGTCGCCTGTTTTAGCTCTTAAATTGAAGATGTGTGAAGATTAAGTAGGAAGATTCCGCAACAAGAACAATACGAGCTCTACTCCGTAATGCAGAATCTACTTGCACACCGGTTGTAAACACCATTGAACCCTACTGGGTCCTTTTGCGGAACACACTACGAAGCCTGCCTTGTCTGGCTTCCGCCGCTCCAGGCGCTGGTGCAAGGGCCTCTGATGCATGGAGAGCCCTACTTATCCCTTCAGTTTGGGGTTTAGGATTCAGGGTTGGTTGAAGAGCCGACAGAACAGGGTTTAGGGTTTAGGGTTTAGGGTTTGGGGTTCTGCATATGGGCAGCTGTGAAGTATGGCCCCCCGGCATTGCCCTTATGACATGCTGTAACAAGGTCTGCTCGGCAAAACTTAGCATGCAGAGCTCCTGGGATGCCATTGTAGGTGTCGAGCTGTCTGTAGGCTTTAGGGTTTAGGGTTTAGGGTTTAGGGTTTAGGTTGAAGAGGGAGAACTGTCTGAAGTGCCTTGAATGTATTTCGCAAAGCCTGCGCTCGAAGCCCACAACACCAGACCCCAGATTGTAGGCCGTTTCTAGCTGCAGGTTATGAACCCTATCCTAGACCCTTAACTGTACTGCTTTTTTGGTCGTCCTAGTTTCATACTTTACGGGATATTATAGGATCCTAACCATAACAGAAGTCATCAAGTACTACGGTGACTTAGTTTCAACATGCTGAATTTTAAAACCCTAAACCCTAAACCCTAAACCCATTTTAAACTCCCTAAAGAGCTACTTTATACTACCTCCGTTGGCTTCGGGCCCGGGCCGCCAAGCCCATCTTAGATAAGCGGATCCCCCTCACCCCTCCACCCCTCCAAACACCACCCCTCCGAAAAGAGTGGAGGCGTGGGAGGGTTTAGGGAGCGGAGGGGTGGAGTTTAGTTTAGGGTTTAGGGTTTAGGGTTTAGGGTTTAGGGTTTAGGGGTCTTTATTTCTACGATTCAGCACTTCTAAGCACACCCCTGCGGCTCGGGGGGCTTGGCCGCCCTCCACTTCTTTCAGAAACTTTACCCTGCATTTAAGGGTCTAGGTTAGCCGAAGATCCGAAGCTCGCAACCCTTAGCCCTGAGCCGAGCATCCGAAATCTGAAGCTCGGCATTCCCCAGAGAGCCCCAAAGCGCTTACTTAAGGAGTAATGGAGGGGCCTTAATAATTAAAATAGGGTTTTGGGTATAGTATACCACAAGTATAATAAGGAGCCCCCAACATGATATAGGCAATTATCTAGGCCCCTACATTATGCCTCAAATTATACGAGGCTTCATACGATGATGTATGCAATTTCCTCACCCTAAACCCTAAACCCTAAACCCAAAACCCTAAAATCGGGCTCTTTGGGTCTGTCTCTTCAGTCATCCCGACAGACCCCGGCCTGTGAATGTCGAATGCATCGTTGGCCCAGGATGATCGCTCCTTCTCTACCCAGAGAACCCAATACGCCTTAATTAAGGAATAGACCTTAAATTATAGGGTCCTTAATATTATGATTTTAAGGTATATTCTTAATTTAGGGGTATTGGGTTCTCTGGGAAAAAAATCTCTACATCTTTGGGTTTAGGGCCTTTTTGGGCTTAGGCTTTATAGGGTTTAGGGCCTAGGGTTTCGGGTTTAGGACTGAGGGTTTGGGGGTTTGGGGTTTCGGGCTTAGGGTTTGGGGTCTAGGGTTTAGGGGGTTTAGGGTTTCGGGTTTAAGCTTAACCTGACAACCACTAAACCCCAGACCCCGACCCTACAGCCTAAACTTGTGAGAACTCGGGTTCAAAGTCAGCAGAGAAGTCCTGGTAAGCATGCAAGCTTAGAAGCTTCTCGTTGGGATTCTCCCACCTGTCGCATCCATGCCAAGGGCCAGGACAGAAAGGTGTAGCATAGAAGCATTAGTATTTAGTGAGACTTAGTATCGGGCTGTGGGAGAAAATATACAATATCTTTAACATGGTATGCAGCATGCACATTTATAGACAAATAGAAGTCGGAGAGAGAGAGAGAGAAAGACATATTATAGAGAGAGAGAGAGAGATAGATCGGGGCTATGAGGGAATACTGCTAGCAATTATTCCGACCCCGATATTCGGTTATTCGGTTCGAGGCTGTTCGGGCCAATATCCACATCCAGACTCGGTGTATTTCAACAGCCCAAAATATCATTACTTGCTAGGGCCGCTAGGGTCTTACAGTAAGCAACCAGGGAACCACATTATCTCAAAACCGGTAGTTTCCCCCGTAAATGACAGAGCATCAGTGCGGGCGGGTAAAGTTGAGGCTGCGCGGTACGTTGGTTGAGTTAGATGCCTTGCATGAGCTCTGATACCTTCACCGCGCCGTGGCTTTCCGGAGATGCTGTGGTAGAACCATAACATGGGTAGTTCTCTAAATTAGGGTCCCTTTTGGGGTCCTTTTCATAAGGGTGCCGTACTATAATGGGGACCTAAAAAGGGACCCTAATTTAGAGAACTACCCATAAGGTGACTACAATTAAAACAATTGAATACTCGTACCAACTGTTCCGATCCTTTTTTGGGTTGTACAGGCTTGGGTTCACGGGTTCGCTTGAGCCCATGCAGCGCAAGAAGGACCAGAAGCTGTTTCGTCTGTGTGCTCCAGATTTACCGAGAATACCTGGCAACATAAGCCGCTCTGATATCATACCTAATATTCGAGAAACGGAGTCCTCATGACAATCCACACGGTTGTGGATATATAACAACTCTACTGGTTGGACCATGTAGCAGTGTAGCAGAAGAATGGGAGCAGACACGCGCCCAAGCGATAGGACCATGGCACATTCCAGAAGCAAAATAAATGCTTTGGCTCATCCATGCAGTTGTAGCAATACGACTTTGAAGCTCACGTGCTTCAGCTCAGAAACGTACTCGTTGAAAGCTGACCGCGTCTCAACCAATCGGCTGTTGCGGTGAGCCAACTAAATCTTTTCGGGGTTTAATCTTTAAAACACAGCTCTGGTCTCCCACCCCTAAACCCTAAACCCTATAAGCCCTACGCCCCATCCGAACCCAGAACTACCCACCGTGAACTCGAGACACCTAGAGCTGCAGAACCCGATGCAACGCCATTTCCGCCTCAGGGAAGGTGCTTTGTACTCGCTAAAGAGGACATCCTGGCAGGAGTGACACACACGCTCCCTCTCTCTCTCTCTCTATATGTCTCTCTCCCCCTCTCTCTGTCTGTCTCTGTCTCTCTCTCTCTCTGTCTCTGTCTTCTTGGATTCAAGCGTCAAGCATTCGGGCTTCGGAAGCAAGGTGCGTTGGTGTTTCTGTTGTGCTGCGGTTTTCGGCTAGCGAACATGGACTGCTGTGATTGCAAGGCTGTCGGTACCACTGCAGCAAGATCACCACCACCACCCCCACCACCACCACCACCAGCAGAAGGAATCGCAAAACAGCATCACCGAGGCACTCATCAATACAGCTGATCCTGGCCGGGAGCATGCTCCTCCTGAGACTGCTTGCACCTATAATAGTGTCTCCTTCCTATCCATGACAGGCAGGTGGCTCTTGTTACGGTTTAGGGTTTAAGGTTTAGGGTTTAGGGTTCAAGGGTTTAGGGTTTAGGGGTGCATCGAGGGACGCTTTTGGTATCCCACAGAAGCCCGTCACCTTAAGCTTGGCCCTACACCTCCAAAACCCTAAAACCTGAAACCACTCCAAACCCCAAACTCCAGAAACCCTCAACCCTAAACCCTAAACCCCCTAACATCCTAAACCCCCCAACCCTCATTTATCCTACACCGTCGACCTTAAACCCGAAACCCCAAACCCCAATCCTGAACCCCAAAACCCGATATCCTGACCCTAAACCCCCCAAAACCCAAACCTCATGAAAAACTAAACCATAAACCCCTAAACCCCTAAACCCTAAAAGCTAAGCCCTAAACCCCTAAACCCCTAAACCCTAGGATTTAGGGTTTCTGGCCTGTGGCCACAGCCCCGCAGGCCGCCCTGGCGGACAAAGGGGCCTCAGTCAAAAGAGATCTCTACGGAGGGTTTAGGGGTTTAGGGTTTAGGGTTTAGGGTTTAGGGTTTAGGGTTAGTTTAGGGGTTTAGGGTTTATGGTGACCTACTGCTGATGATATAAATCCTGCATTACCTTCAGGACTCTAAACTATGGGGATTTATGGTATATTCCGTATTATGGGCAATGCAGGATTTATATCATCAACCGTAGGGAATTTGAGTACACTGGGGTTAGGGCGGTTAGGGTGTAGGGCCAATTTAGGGCTTAAGGTTTATAGGGTTTGAGGGAAGTCTCAGGAATCTTATATGGTATAGGCTTTATGAGCTGAGCTATGCGGCTTACGGGAGCAAAGGAGCTTCTACGACTTCGGAATCCTTTCACTTTAGGGTTTAGGGTTAAGCGTCTTGATTTGGGGGTTTAGGGTTTAGGGTTTAGGCTTTATGCTGAGACAGAGGTCCTACTACCATTATGGAATTAGACACCCAAAGACCATTCTACTCATGGGTTTGGGGGGGCCTAAATAATTCCATAATAGTGGTGTTATATGGACCCTCTTGGTGAGACAAGATGAAGCGAAACTCCCACAACGTCTGCAACTCCACACCCAAAGGTTACAAAAACCCAAAGCCCTAAACCCTAAACCCAGAGCCCTAAACCCTAGACAGGCCCTAAGCCCTGCCAGCCCTAACCTCCATCAAGGCCACTAGGAACCTTGCACGCCCCATTAAAGTTTGGGGTTTAGGGTTTAGGGTCATTAACCCTTTCTTACCCCAAACCCAGAAACCGACAAAGCTCGGACCCTGACGCACCAATACAGAGGCCTTCAGAATTAGATGAGAGCTTTCCGAAGTATACTCTGAATACAGCAAGATAACACTAAGGATCAATAAAGAACCCCGAAGGAATGGTATGGGCACTTTTGTCTGTCACCTCTCCTTTAGGGTCTCTTAAATGGGTTTAGGGTTTAGGATTTATAGGGTTTAGGCCGTTTAGGCTTTAGGATTTAGGGTTTAGGATCTATAAGGCACTTGAAATGTCTATATGAAGCCAAGTTTTGGATTCCCGGCTGTCGCTTGATGGTGGGGAGCGAGTGGCTCTTTCGCATGGCGCACCTGAGCTGCCCTAATCCTAAACCCTTACACTACTACACTCTAAACCCCTACGCCCAAACCCCCTAAACCCCTACACTGGATGTGAGTTTCATGAATGTCATTGCTTACTCGTTTGTTCATGTATTTTCTTCAGATAGTTTGAGGTGTAATAAGAAACCTGAAGATAGCAGTAGTATTGGTAATTCGGCATTTTCTTCAAGTTTGCATATGACCTTACCGATCGGGGTTTGGGAGTGCTCGGAGCTTCAAGAGTCCATGGCCACAACACAGCCTTGAAACGGGCTATAAGACTTTCTATAAGGGCCCTAAGCCCTAAACCCTAAACCCTAACCTTGTAGACTGACTGCTTGTGCAGCCAGGCCAGGTTGGCACTTGAAACTGTTTAATGGTACGATAACTCCCCGAAACCACCCCCAGAGGACCCATACCCCAAATATACACAAACTCAAGAACTCTCGAATCACCTCTGACAGCATTCTGTAGTCTCAAAACCCCACTAACGCTGTTTAGCATAGATTCGCCTTTGGGCGCCGGGCGCCCTGCAGCTGCGCCCCAGCCGGGCCACTCCCGCCCCACTAGATGTATAGAGCCGAGCTTCCGTGCGAGCACAAGCGGATGAAAGGTGATATAAGGGTCTTAATGAGTCTTAAAATTGATAATCAGACAAGGCTGCTGGGGGTATATTAGAGTATAGTTCGGATAAAGAGCCCAAAATAAAGAACAAGCTTGGTAATTATTCAGGCTTCTACATTGTCTTGTTGTGAGAATGCGGTGGCTGTTAGGGTTGGTTGTGGCTTTATGGCTTTGGACTGTGCATCAGGACCCCGAATGCAGCTTGAAACCTCTAAACCTGCGACTCTCGGGGAGCGTACAGTAAAGCACCAGGCACCTATACACTGGCCTGAATGGTTTCTGCTTTCTGGCCTGAATGGTTACTGTTACTGTCAGTTTGCATTTGGAAGGGGTGGTCTAGTATAGCACACTTCTTCATTTTTTGAATGTGTGGATCAGACCTATAGGGTTTTGGAGTGTCTTTGTTCTATCATTTTATGATCATCACACAGGGACGACATCACAAGAATGTTGACAACTCTTAAGATCCTTACCTAGGGTTTACTGTTTGGGGCCCTAAACCCTAAAACCTAAATCCTAAACCCCCTACCCTAAAGTTTTGGGGTTTAAGCTACAGAGCTTATGCAACATGGCAAGTCCTGCCAAACCAAATTTCCCCAAAGTCCTTACCTGGGCCCCAATAGTATGTGTAATAATGGCCTTGTCTTGGGCCATTATCTTACCTACTTTTGATGGTTTAGGGTAGGCCCTAAACCCTAACAGCCCGTGCCCTATAGACCTACACCCCCTAATCCCAAAGGCTCCATGTACCTTTATAGTAGATACTTAGGCCTGAAAGGGGTCCTTATATAGGTACTTTAATTTAAGGCCTAAGTATCTACTATATGGGACATGGAGCCTTAGGGAATAGCACCGCAGGAACCCTAAACCCTAAACCCTAAACCCTAAACCCTGAACCCTGAACCCTAAACCCTAAACCCTAAACCCTAAACCCTAAACCCTAAACCCCTAAACCCCTAAACAGGAACGAAGCTGGCTGGCAAAAGCTGCCGGGGAAGCCTGTGTTCGCCACCGCAGGCCTCAGTCGGTGGAGCTTCCAGCGAGTATTGGGGCCTTTGTGCTTAGAAGAGGGTTCCTTTCATAGGGTTCCTTTAAGGGGTTCTATAAGGGTTACTAGTTATAAGGGCTCTATAATATAGGGGCCTTTGTAATTAGAGTAGGGTTTTGGGGCCTATTATACTATCATTATACTGACAGAGGAACTCCAGTATTTATTTAAGCCCCTACATTATGCTTCGCAGGGCCTAGGACTCATTCAGCCTTAGCCTGCGCGTTCTTAAGTTATTAAGGTTTAAGGACCCTAAACCCTAAACCCCTAAACCCCTAAACCCTAAACCGACCCAGTATAGGCATAGGGCTTTGGGCTGACGGGTGCCCAGCAGGGGGGCTGGGTTTGGGGTTACGCTCTTAGCCTGAGTGAGTTGGAAGTAACTTGAGAGGCTCTGCACGAGCACGGATGTTAGCGGAAACGTTTAGGGTTTAGGAGTTTAGGGTTTAAGGTTTAGGGTTTAGGGGTTTAGGGTTTCAGGTTTAGGGTTTAGGGGTTTAGGGTTTAGGGAGGATGTTAGCAGAAACTCGTCGGTGCTTCGATGACTTGTGCACACGCTTGTGCGGGTCTTGTTCTGCGCCGCTGCTAACACCACCTACATGGCCAAACACCGTCCGACCTCCCGCACATGCTTCAGTAAGACGATCCTGCACAGCACTACTGTCACCACCATAGGCAGGATGACCCCAGGTGACGATGGATCCATCGCCAAGAATAGCGGCAAAAGCAGCGTCAGAGGCTTGGATCTGCTGCACGTTCTTCAGCTGATCCTGCACCGCACTACTGTCCCCACCGTGCTCAGCAAGACACCAGGTTACGACAGAGCCATCACCGAGAATAGCAGCAAAAGCAGCGTCAGAGGCTTGGATCTGTTGCACGTTCTTCAGTTGGTCCTGCACAGCACTGCTGTCACCACCATGCTCAGCCTTACCCCAGGCTACGACAGAGCCATCACCAAGAATGGCGGCAAAGGCACATGCAGTGGCTTGGATCTGCTGCACATTCCTCAGTCGATCCTGCACAGCGCTGCTGTCACCACCCTTCTCCGCATCCCCCCAAGTGACGACGGATCCGTCGCCAAGAATAGCAGCAAAAGCGTGGATAGAGGACTGGATCTGCTGCACGTTTTTCAGTTGGTCCTGCACCGCACTACTGTCCCCACCCGCCCCAGCATCACCCCAGGCCACCACAGATCCGTCGCCAAGAATGGCAGCAAAAGCATTCTCAGACGATTGGATCTGCTGCACGTTCTTCAGTCGATCCTGCACGGCATTGCTGTCACCACCCCTCTCCGCATCCCCCCAAGTGACGACGGATCCGTCGCCAAGAATGGCAGCAAAAGCAGCGTCAGAGGCTTGGATCTGCTGCACGCTTTTCAGCTGATCCTGCACAGCACTACAGTCCCCACCACAGTGAGCAAAACCCCAGGTGACGACCGATCCGTCGCTAAGAATGGCAGCAAAGGCGCAAGCAGTGGCTTGGATATGCTGCACGTTCTTCAGCTGACCCTGCACAGCACTACTGTCACCACCGAAGACTCCATATCCCCACGTCACAACAGATCCGTCGCCCAGAATGGCAGCAAACAAGTTGACAAACTTGTTTCTGGAGGCTTGGATCTTCTTCACGGTCTTCAGCTGATCCTGCACAGCGCTACAGTTAGATTCGCCGCAAGTTATGGCGGATCCATCGCCAAGGAGAACAGCAAACGCAGAGGCAGAGGCTTGGATCTGCTGCACATTCTGCAAATCGTCCTGCACGGTGAAGTGGCTGTTGGGAAAAACTGAGCCCTCATCGTCCCCCGCATCCCCCCAGGTCAGTATCGATCCATCACCAAGAATGGCAGCAAAAGCCTCTCCACAGGCTTGAACCTGGACTCTGTTTATATGCAAGGTTAGCAAGTCACCATTCTGCAGTCTGGCACGCTTGATGGGTGCACATGCATCCAGAACACTTCCAGATGAGCCCACGAGCCGCCCTGCTCCGACTCCGAGCGCGATCTGTGCCCGGCGTTTCAGTGTTCCGACTTCTTCATCCAAGTCGGCTTTCACAGTGGTTGTCTTGCCGCTGAGAAGCCCAACTTCCACTGTGATCGACATGCGGCCGCATGAAAATTCAAGGGGGTGGGAGAACTTTAACTACACACGGGTCCCTTCGTTTAGCACAACTGCCCTGAGGATACGACCCCATGCGAATTGAGAGAAGCGACGCCAACCTCAAATCCCGAACGTCTACATGCTACGTCGATTGATTTTCGAAGGGTCCAAGTACCAAACAATCCAATATGATCCTAAATACTAGCCGGCAAAACTACCATCTTAAGCCCAAGTACCTCATTGTTAGTTCCAATGCACCCTGAACCCCTACACAACCATACAACATCCCTCACAAATCCCTTATCCCTAAGCACCAAACCCAAACCAATTCGTATAGGAGCCTGAATAATTGGAATAAGGTCTTGGGGCCCATTATTCCTATAATTATCATAAGGAAGCCCCAAAATAATAGTATTCATAATAATTTAGGCCCCTACATCATAGAAGCCGAGTCGTGTGAAGTCCTTTGCGCCCATGGGGATTCCAAACGACGCCCGCGCTGCTGTCCGAAACCCAGCTGCATCCATGGGTTTAGGGTTTAGGGTTTAGGGTTTAGAGTTTAGAGTTTAGGGTTTAGGGTCAGGGTTTAGGGTTTAGGGTTTAGAGTTTAGGGTTTAGGGGTTTAGAGTTTAGGGCATGCGCCACGGGTTCAGGCTTCAGAGCTTAGGGTTTTTTGGGGTTCAGGGTTTAGGGTCTAGGGTTTAGGGCTTCTGGGTCGAAATTCCCCCAGATTCTGTGGGAAGTGACGAGATGGGTTCGATATGCATCGAGAGATCTGGGTGGATGCAGCCAGGTTGCAACCATTCGCACTGGCACGTGGAGCGGGACAGGCGTTGGAACCGAATGAAACCTGCAAAGGAGACATGGCAAACCATCCTATAAAACTTGGAAAGGGCCTGCTTTAAGGTCCTTTAGCTTTCAGAATGTATACTAGTTTATACCCATGCAACCGAAAACAAACGCCAATAGCCGGAACCCTCAATCGTGGATGCCTGTACCGGTGAGTCAATTCATACTTAATTTCATTGCTTAGCTTGTTTTGGGAGAAACTACACGGAGTTTGGCTGCGATGAACCCCCAACAATGCCAGGCGCAGCATATCATCCAAAGCCTCAGCTCTAAACCTAAACCCGAAAGCAAAGCAATGACCACCAAAAAGTAAGGGCCATATGCCCTTTATAGTATGAATCCCTAAATTGAAAGTTTGAACCTATGG